TGAAATATCGCGATATTTCAGTGTATCGATATTTTCTTACACCCCTAGTGCTGGGTGGTATACTGGTTCGTTATTTTTATTACGATATAAATTTTCTGAATACCCACATATCAGTGTAAATAGCCTAAACATGTTAGTGACCTTTCGTTGCGCTCACCAGTCAACTGTTTCTCTTACTTTTCCTCGCAGCACCACTATACGTATTAGCAAGCTAATGTTCTTGTTGGAGCAGATTGTTGCAGTAACTGGTGGCAGGTGGTGATTCCACTGCTTATATTGACTGACATTTAAAAAAAATCCAGTTTTCACCATTTCTGAATGTAGTAAACAACTCTTCACTGACGTGCACGGATAAATTTAACATTAACATATTTAATGTGCTTCTAWTGTGAAAAGCCCACAGGAAGTAGTTTTGTACTGGTCTACAGAGGCTGATTGGTCCTGTTAAGTTTATGACCTTAAAACATCTRACAGTGTCAGTTAAATCAGTGTCAGCTACRGCTGGGCGGTATKACCTCAAATTCAWATCACGGTATAAATTGGACCCYTTCATGGTAACGGTATATATCGCRGTAGAAAATTATCATWAAAAGCAAAGATAATGTAATTTTTAGAGCRTTTATTTTGCAGAAAACTGYCATCATARTCAAACCCAGTATTTTTGCTKTAGTGCAAATCAAYAGAAGTACAAAATGTTTTATATGTATTGCAAAATGGTTTCAACAACAAACAAAAACATTTCTCAAATTTTCAACAATATCAAAATAAAGTGGATGTTACAACCAGTACATCAAGTAAAATTAGTCATTTAAACATAAAAAATTCAATATTGACTAAAACGTTATAGTGTGACAGGCCCTGAAGGGGCTTAAGCTGCACATAATCCTGTCATAAAACTATTTTAGATAACTGGAATATAAGTGTTGTGAAGCCAAATAAATGTAATATCTGTCTGCCATACAGTGAGCTTCTGCTGCTGAACTTATCAGCTGCTGCTCTGCTGCGCGCTCATCTTCATCATCAGAGCAGAACTGTTACATTAGCAAGATGGATTTATGACTGAACGAACGTCCACGTCTTTTTTAATCACCTTTGTGGGTAAAAGTACATAAAAACAAGTTTTTACGGTTGTTAATGCTTCGCTCTGCATGACGTGCAGCGGGAGGGAGGGAGGAAATGATCCCGACGTAACTTTTCTAAGCGGGAGGGGAAATTTTGAGGATTTATTCTCTCTATATTTGTTTTAAAATGCTATATTTTTTTATTATATTTCAAACTCCTCCTGCTCAGTTGTCTCTGCACTCACAGCCTTGTTGACACAGGTGCGATGACGTAACTGATGATAGGACGGTAGAGTATAAATTTCTACCGTAGGCCAACTTCATACCGTTTCTACCGTCTACCGCATATACCGCGCAGCCCTAGTGTCAGACAAAATTGAAATTGGCAGGTCAGACTTCTTAAAAATCTGTGATCAGACAGAAAACTACARTCGGTGCACTCCTAGTTTCTTTATTGGTAATAAAAGAGTCGAGATCAAATGACAAGTAAGCCATGTACCTGTGATTTGCATAGTCAGATTTAGAAAACTTTTTTTTGTTTGCATGGCTTGAAAAACTATCCCAGACCACACACATTGTTGCCCACCTCCATCCACATTGTACCTGCCTCATCCTGTAACATTCACTTTAAAACTCTGCACAGAGTCTGTGGTCTTTAAGTTTTTACTCACTGACTACAGATGGTGGGAAAAACCATGTAGGTCATTGTTAATTGTGGTGGGAGTGCACACTGCCTGACATCTACAGTGCAGGTGTCTAAGCTCAGTCAAATGTGGTAAAATGACATTACTCTGAGGATTGTTTTCCACTTACTGTGTGAGGTGGGGAGGTGAGGTATCGAGTGCTCAGCCTGACCTGCTTTAAGAACTGACAGCTGGGAGGTTTGACTGAGGCAGGTATAGGATGTCCCCTCTCCCTGATGTCAGTGTGCTGTCTTTGAACAGAACTGTAAAGTGTTGATCACAGGCCTCCCTGAGACAGGCTGGGCAGAGACTGACATCATCCAGCTGGCCCAACCCTTCGGAACTCCCTCTGACATCATCCTGTCAACAAACGTCAGAAAGGTTGGCATCAACGCTTCTCCACCTGAAAGTTCAAATTGTTTTATTTGTAAAACTGTGATGTTTCTTGTGTGAGAATATTTTACATTCTGTATTTAAAATGTGGAGATATATGGAGTTTAACGAGGATAAATTAAATATGTGTGTCTGTGTTCAGGCATCAGTTCAGACTGGATACCTGCCCCACTCTGTCCACATGTTAAAATCAGACAGAAGTTGTCTCCTCGTTTTTTATTTATCTACAGAAAATGTCAGTACCTTCATAGTTTTAATCCCCATGCAGTTTTTATTTAGTAATCATCTCATTTGCTCAGGTCACACTTCAGGAGCAAGACCTCACATTGTTGA